GCCACACCCACTTCTCACTGCGATCATAATTTTTGGAAACTTTTTTTCTCAAGGAAAGAAGTTTGAAGTTTTACTTTACAACTTCTGCTTGTTCTGTAACTTTTGCCACTTTTACTATTTCGCACACAATCACCTAGTCCTAAGGACCGATTGACACGGGCAACTCCGCCCCTTTTTCCGAGAAAGCCAATTCGGAATTTTTACAATTTTCGTTGTTTTTACACCCACATCACCATAGCAGTATCTCATTCATTACAGGAATTCACCTCCAACTAAACTAGTAAATGACTAATAAACAGTACCTGTCAAGCAATGCCTCCTGCTGGCAATGAGCTGCATAGGCTAGGGTATCGACGCTGTCACAACGTTTCGTAGAAATAGCCGTTACATACAGTACGAAATCGGCATCCCTGCAACAGACTTTATTGATTACTTTAAAGCAGATTGAGTCCAATCTTGGCGTCAAACCATTTGACCCATGTGGGACAACTGGCTGTTCTACGAGCTCAGAAGAAGAACCAGCTATCTTTCACAAAGCGACCGAGCAATTTCGCGCCAATTGCTCCCCTACTATATCCTGACCAAACATAACCAGGGCACTTCCTGCCGTTGGGAAATTTTTTTTCGCAAAATAGGATCCTCCCCACATTCCCTCCTCTCGGAAGATCTTCCCCTACCGAATTTCCTTCTCTGGTACTGTTCCCCTCCTCCCCCTAGCAATGCCTCTTCTGGTTCAGTCCCTCCCTTCTCCAAACTTTTCATCTTGCCTTCCATCTTCCTAAGCTTTATCAACGTCCTACCACTTTTTCATAATTTCTTTTTTCCACTTTTCCCCCAAAAAAGAGCCGCTGAGCGGCGAGGGGGGTGGAGAGGTGTGGGGAGTATCAGGCCTCGTAGGGCTCGTTAAACATGTTTTCATCGTCTAAATACGACCCTATTACTAGGAATCCTCAACGTTGCCTGTGCTCTGCACATAACACCACGCCAGGCCACGTAAACGTTTCCCCAAAAAAACCCGCCCAAAATTCTAGTGCCTTCATGGCTTTTCAACTTATTTTTACTATTTTGCTAGCCCGAATTTGAGTCACGTAGACTGTGTGGTGGCTTTTACATGAGAATACACTACGCTAGACCCATTCTACACCCTTCTGGTCCTCAACGGCGTCAGCCAAATTCACCGAACACCATGTCGTTCAAAAGGCGTTCACAAGGTCAGACGACGGGAAAGGAATGCCGCCCAGCCGATTCTCTTCCCACCTCCCCCCGCCCCTCCTCCCGAGCCGCCTCAACACTCCTCGTTGCTCAGTTCGACAAGCAACTTCAATGAGTACCTGGTTCAGTTATACTTTCGAAGTACTTTTGAATGCTTTTCAAGGTAAAACAAGGAAAAGCTTTTTCCGAAGTAGATCAAATTCTCGATAAAACAAGACTCACTTCACTCCCTCTCCTTTCTCACCAGATGTGTAACAGTCGTCCGATGTCAAGCAATATGAGCACTCCTGAAAAAGTACCGTTTCCAGAAAAATCCAGAAAATAAAAGAAAGGAATCATACAGTATTGGAGAACATTGACTAGTCAGGCTAACAATTCTTTGACTAAGGGAAATTTCCGTGGACAGAGCTAGTTTGGGAATGTATACTACTCAGAAGGTCGATCTTCCTGCAAATTCATCCGGGAAACCTCCGCTAACGTTAAAGGAATGAGGGTAGGGGTTCTGTGTAACTCAATATTTTTCTGAATGAGCCACGATCTTTAGTTACTGGTATCTATAGGTAGATCTATCTGTGTCTAATTAGTGGCAAGTCAACGCTGACACAGGGTGCGACGGGTCCAACACACCCCTTTTATTTTGGTCAGAAACCGATTGAGCGGCCGCTAAATAAAGTTGGGAGGACCGTTTGCGTCCGCCTCGGGTATCCCTTTCTTCGATTGAGGTCAAGGCTTGTCGCGAGAGTTAGTCCACAGTGGATCTTTCTGTGGGTGCTAGCTCTCAGCGAGTCTGGTCAGTCTGGCGTTCATGAGTTGCAGCGCGTTTTCAGGGCGGCATACGACGCGCGGCCAGGAGGTACTCCGTATACGCAATTTACGTTAGTCCTTGATAGAATGATGTCTTATGCAGAAATGCTCTCGAATGTTCGATTCTCCGCCATATGATCAGCAGTGGACAGAAATTTGCATGGCAGATCCGAAATATCGCCATATGGGAACTAAAAAAAAACTAAAGCATGCAATCAAAATTTAACGAACTTTAATGATTCCAAGGCATAGACATTGCAAACAACGAAAAACAGAGATCAAGAGTTTGAATAAACAAAATAATATAAAAAAAACAAATATGCCAAGTTGAAAAGCGAGTGACTCAAAATTAAATCACCCTACCAGCAAATGTTCATTAGGTATGATGGTTTCACCGCAATTCGTCTCCGCTCGACAGCCCCGATCACATGCGACGCTTTTCTTTTCATTACGATAATAATAAAACGATGACGTGCACTTTCTTAAAAGCTGAAGATTACACGAAAAAAAGTTATTACATCAAAAACTAATTCCGCACTAAAGATACTGTTCGGTATTGCCGCGTGGGCGGAGTTAGGGGACAACGTCATTAGCGCGTCCCTCCTCTTCCCGCCTTCTCAAAAGGCACGGAAAGGAGAGGAGCACCAATGACGTCTTCCCCTGGCTTCCCTGGCGATCCCAAATGGTGTCCTTTGAATGTAAAGAAGGAAGTACCGTCGAAGTCGTATCGGAGCTTCAGTACGTGCCACACGAAGAACGTCTTCCCAATAGCCGGCGGCTTCAGGTAAAAGTGAACTCTGAAAGGAAAAACATGATCAACCTCACGGGAATCACAGACATTACCAAGCTCTAATGATAAAGGATCAGCCTTAATAGGTCCCTTGTTGGAATGCGCCGCGTCTCTGACTTCCATTCAGATGCAGTGGTGTTCGGGTGAGATTTGACAAAATACAATCGCAATCGGAATTGGAGGATCGGCAAAAAATCGGAGAATTTGCACCATAAGGGGAAGCAGGATGGTTGGGCAGGGATTCGTGAAAAGGGTAGACATTTGAGTCAAACTGAGCTTCCGTACACATACTAACCAGAAAGCGAAAGGTCAAGGGCAACATTGCTTGGGAGCATAACCTAGTAATTATGAAAATTGTTTGCTGTACATTTTTACTTTGGTCCCGAGGCAACGCGCAGGGCCTTTATCACAGCATCATTCTCCAATCCACCACTGCATTTTTGAATCTAAAGGGACACTTTCCGTGTTCTGAAAGGGCGGAGACAGAGAACCATTGTCCCACCCTGATTCAAGAGCCTTCCAGAGGATAAAGAAGA